AGACAGTTGACTAGTAGTCATATTTGCATACCAGCTGTATTTGGGTGAATGCATGCTTAATTAGCACCTGGCTATGTGCTGTTTATGGAGAGGTTAGGTTAGGGGAGGGGGGAGAGCACCTTGGGAGGGGCAGCGAAGGAGCACACCATCAGAGATCTTAATTTTTGTGTTGCTGTGTTTAATCAACCATATAGTTTTCAATGTAACTGTTTAGTGATTGTGGAGAAGTGGCAGTATCCAGGCTTTGACCTGGTAGATAGCAATTCATGTACACCTCTCTCATATGTGTTAAGTTGCCAGCACAGGTGATCTGGTGAGTCTCAGCTGACCAAGCCAAAGATGCCTCTGTGAGGACACTTGCAGAGGGGACTCCCGTGCATACCCCTTAGACAGTGACTGGCCATCTTCTCTAATGTTCTAATATTTCCTCCTTTTTGTTTAAGCAGCACCTCATTTCAAAGATACCAATAGTATTCACCTAGCAATGCAATAGTGCAGTTGTTCATGCAACACTTGGGAAAACCGTAAGCTTGTCTGCTTGTGGCTAAAACCTCTAAATATAATTTCACAGAAAGCTAAATACTTATACTTAAAGCATAATACCTACAGACAAACCTATTTGGTTATGAGTGCTTATCTGCTGTCTGTTCTGAGTAACCTTGCTTTTACTGAGTACCTGCATTCTTGGTTCAGTCTTTGTAACTCTTAAGAGCAAGACTCCTATCGTGTTCTGTTGCCCAGTATGCCCAGTGACTGTTGCTTCGTAGCTGAGAAATGGATGAAAAGCCAAGTTTTATGAGATGTAATCACTTCTTAAGGGCTTGTAGAATAGTTTCACCTGTTACATTAGCTTAGTTTACTAGTTCAGCAGTAAATACATGTAAAGAGAGATGCTTTCTCTTTAGAACATCTTTCACTAGTGAAACAAGTGCACAAAATCCTTGTTTTCTGTGTCTTTTTAAGATATTTTCTCAAATTCTAAGAGAATGAAGTTAAAGATTTGGAAGCTAGAGACACACTTTTCCCTGATCAATGAACAAAAGAGTGGAGCCTACTTTTCCACCTGTTGGTGTGGAATGTAAAATATCTCTTACTTCCACTACTGTATGTTAAAGAGCCTTGCAAATGATATTGGTCAAGTCTGCTTTGATGAAGGACTGCAAGATCAGAGTAAAGGTTGAGTAGTTCATACTCTGTTATCTTAGCTTCTTCTGTCTGCTTGAAGTGTGGAGGATGATTGTCAGCTTTGATAAACTTGATGGAGGAGATCTAATCTGTGTGAAACTTTCAGTTAATGTTTCCATCCATACCTGAATTGCCTTAGGTCTTGCAGTTAATACAAAGCTATTATGTCCAAAGGTTGGATGTGTTTTTACTGAAACCTACATATTTCCAGGTTCTAGTGAACTGGAATTTTGATCTGACTCTTCTAGGCCAGCACCAGACATTTGGAGCAGTGTTGTACTTCAGGATATAGACTGTGCCACACGTATCTGAGTAGTAATATCTGAAAACTGGCTTCCAAAGTACTGTTCGAACATGTTGGAAGACAAAGTAGAAAGTAGGCAAGTTTGGTATGCAGGTTGATTGTGGGTGATGGAGGATGATGATTCTATTTCTTGATATTGATATAGCCTGTTACTGAATTTGGTTTTAATGAGTTTACAGCTTCCGACAGTAGAGGTGGAGAAAAATACGGCTGAAGAAGCACAGGTTCTTTTAACCGTCTTCATGGTATATGGGAGGGAAAAAAAAAGCATGCTGGTGTTGAAAGGAAGAACTAAAGGAACTGGAGGCTAGAAGAGGTATTCAAAGGGACGTGTTGGGGCTAAGGTCAGTCAGACAAGGAGATGGGATCACTGAGGACCTATAGGAGAAGAGTAGATAATATTGATTATCTTTGCCCTGCCTAGCTTGCAGATCTCCTCCTCCTGAAGCTCCCTTATCTCTCCAACCTTCTCCTATGATAGAATGTTTTTCCTCTTGAAAGGAATTGAGGCTGGGGTAGCTTGAGGAATGGAGCGGTGGATAGATGTGATGGGAAAATTCGACTTTCTCCAACTGAAGTATTTAAATAGATGGAGGAGCTGAAAGAAGGGTGTCAGCCAGGCTATAAGACATCCAAAAGTGGAAAGAGAAGCACAGGAGCCAGAGCTGGAGATGATCGATGTGGATTTTGTTGTGGCAGAGGAGCGCATGAGTCCAGGATAGTGGGAACTGCCACCATATCAGTGACAGTACAGGAGTAGAGAGCTAAGGGTAAACAAATGTCAAATGTTGGGGCCTCTCTACCATTTTGAAACTGTCATGTTGGGATTTGAAGAGCTTATGTCTCATGCTATAAGACAACAGAGGAAAGAAAAATTTATTGAAGCAATACAAGGTGAAAGAGCAAGTGAAGTGAATGACCTTTTTTATGCTGGAAGGGAGAAGAGTGCATGAAATAAGGAGCAAAGAAAAGCAGGAAGTTGAGGTGACATGTAGGACACATGAAAATTGAACTTGCTCGAAATATCTGTACAGGATATGTAGTTCCCACCTTCCCAGACCGTAGGGAGAAGTTGGCATTTGCTTTGCTGTGTGTCTCGCTGGAGTTATTAATAAGTTAGAACAGTGACTTCTTTAGAATAGGCAGATCTGTGCTACCCACGCCCTGTTTGTGGCAAGAGTTTTCTGTGCCGTGTACAAGCAGACAGTGTCTATGCAGACTCTTTTCCTCCTGCACAAAAGCTGAGGGCATCTTGCTCGTTTTACGCTTGCAAAGGAGGCTTGTCCTGTGGTTTGGACTCATAACAATGGATTGTTTTTTTTTCTGCTCCACTCTGTTAGCAAGAAAAAAAACATAAAGCACAGCAGCTGTGAGTTCATTTCATTGAATTGCTGGAAGCCTTTGTAAGTTCCAAATAAATATTGGGTAATAGTTTTACAAAAGAATATTTTTTTTTTTTTGGCCCATAGTCAGAGTATGTACAAGAGAAAAGAAGCTCTGATACAACCTCTTGTTGAGAATCTCACTCCCTTAGGGTGTTTTTCTCTTTCACTTGTTTGAAATGAGAGCGATGATGACAAGATATTCTGAGGGATCAGGGACGATCTGAACAGGACTGAAGAGGTAGTGAGCTCGAGAAGAGAAAAGCTAGGACTCTGCATGGCAAAATGAATGAATGGTAGTTTCTTCTGGTTTTGATTATGTTAATTAGACTGGTATGCTTAATTCTTCCACCGTTGCAGTACTTGCACGTTCATTCCGTGTCCCCTGGGCGTGTGCTCTGCTCTGCACTCGTTTGCCATGCTGAGAGCAGTTCCTACAAAGCCATGCATATATTGATTGTCTGATTTACACAGCTGGCCAGACTTTTTATCTCTTTCGTTTGCTCTGTCATTTCATTACCTAAACCAGCGGCTTTGAGACCTTGCACGCGGCCTGGCTTGCAAGGCCAGCTGCCGTTACCCACTGTGCTCGTGGCCCTGTGCAGCAGTCAATCGGTTGAAATTGCCCAATGGACTCGGTAGGCATGGGGCAAGGGAGGAAGAGGGAAACTGGCACAGCTCTCATGAGCTTCGTTTTCTTGAGAAGCCAGGCTTAAAACTGCATAGTAAAAGATAGTTTCTAAAATTATCTACAGAGCCTAGGCTTTGCTTATTTTTAGTCGGAGCTTAAAGTTAACCAGGCTTATAGCAAACCTACACCTTACAGAGCAGGCTCATGTTAAGCAATTAGACCATTCTAACTTTGGAAGGTTACTGAGTGGGTGGATGTCACTGACTAAAAGTATAAAACCCATATCTTAAGGGTTTTAAAAAAAACGGTGTCTTCAACTGGAATGGCTTTCAAGTTTATTCATCTACTTCAAGAGCTAGTTTATTCAAAGCTAAAAATAATTAACATACAGAAGAAGTGGGAAAGCTTCCTCCCTTCATCTAGGAAGGAAGGAAAACCTGATAATATAAGATATTATAGTCCAGAAATGTAGACTCATGTGACATAGCACAGAGGCAATGCTAGTAAGCTGCTTAAGTCTTGATTTTTATTTAAAACATGGTTTCCATTCTACTTAGCAGGGACATGTGTAGTGTGCACACCCACTTAGTGTTTTTTTCCAAGAATTTCACTGTTGTATGGAGCTTGACAGAAACAATGCGAAACATTCTTTTGTGATGTTACAAGATCACTCTTCATTTTCTAGCATAAACCTGAATAAATGTAAAGATGTATTGTTGCTTAAATCTGCATAGAGACAGTGTTTGCAATTAAAAAAAAAAAAAAGTGTCAGCTAAAAAATGTGTTCATCAGGTTTTACCAGGGTGAATTTCACTTGTTCTGTTTGTAGCACTAGTTTTCCTACAAAACATTAACCTTTATTATTTTAACTTTGGTGGTGGTCTGTTTGCTGTTTTGACCATGCTTAGCCTAATGATGGGGAAAAAAAATTAAAACTACACTCATGCTTTTGAAGTACAGCTGAGCTCTTACTCAGGAGGTCTTATGCATGAGGACTTTGAAGCATGCCAGAGAGTAGAAGCAGATGGTGTAGCTAGCAGCCATAAAGGTTTACTCCTTAGCTTTGTGGAGATGAACTTTTGTCCCACCTACAGAAGAAATTGGGAACGAGATGTGAGCCAGATAGGAAAGTGAGTAATAGCTGGACCCAAGATGTTAGTTCCTCCAGTGGGGTTTATTTACCACAGTTTCTGACAGCTAGTAGGAAACGGTTTAAGCTCATCATTTGTGCTATGGAACTGGCTTTCACCAGCTGCTTTAGAGGAAACATCTGTGAATGGAAAACATCCTGTAACAGATGGTGCAAGGAAAGGGAAGTGAACTGGCCTGTTGTAGACTTACTTTGTATTACAGGTATAATGCGATGTCTTTGCACAAACTTGATGTAGAAGTGATACTGTCTCTTCTTTCTTCCCCTTACAAACAATGTGGTGCAAGTTACCACTGCAACCTTGTGATCCCCAGGTAGCACTAATACCTGTTGTTCTCCTTCCCACAGTCACAGTGTCATCAGTAGAGGTAAAGACGCCGGAGGAGATGTTTGTGGAGAATGGGACAGACGCAAAGCTTCCATGCACGTTTACATCTGTGGAAGTGATCAGCAGTGCAGCATCTGTTTCTTGGAGCTTTCAACCAGAGGGAGCAGCAACTCCTATCTCAGTAAGGAACAAGCCTGGGAGGGAAGGCTGCGATAGGTGTTCAGAGACCTTCTGGTTGCTTCTGAAAACAAGCAAATACAGATTGGAGTAGTCTTCCACATGTCTTGTTTCCACCGCTCTGATTTTAAGGGAGCTTTTCTAGCAATATTTGAAGATGTTGCGATGTGCTGGATACTATTTTAGACTTCTAGAATGTGCAGTGACTGTAGCGTACACTAGTAGTTCCTTTATCAGAGAAGAGAGGTGTTGGTATAGTAGCCATGTGTACAAAGTAGACGAGTGTCTAGGAATCTTCTCCTAAATGCTGTATCCAGTCTGTGCTTGAAAACAAGCTGTGGAGCTATGTACGGAATGATAGCTGTCACAGAACTTGAATTACCACTTTTAAAATTGTATTGTACAGATCTTTTTTTTTTTTTTCCTGCCTGTGTACTGTTTCACCTGCCTTTTGGAAAGATTTGCAATGAGACCAGTCTCTCTACTTTCAGAACAGATTTTAACTGTTCATCTTCACAAGTAGTCTCTTCCCCATAGTTAGTTACTTGGTAAGTCAAAAATCAGACTAGCAAGCAGCTCAGGCTAAGAATAATTGTCATCACTCATTTCCTGTGCATTGAGCCCAAGTATGCTCAGATCCTTTGGGTCAGAACCTTTGAGTATATGGTTGTGGTAAGTTGTTCTTTCTCTTCTTCCTCTGTCACATGAGCTGTTCACACCTGCACATGAGCTCCCTGGCATTCTGCCTCCCATTTGTTCCCCTACCCTGAGCCAGAATTTAGAAGAACCAGAACAAGGAACTCCAGGGCAGGGGGATGTGGGGTAGCAGGTTCCTCTGCCCATGGGTGTTGGTCTCCCTCCCTCTGCTGCAGACACAAGATTGTGCAAACTCTAGAAGCTGTTGTGTGCTCAGAATAGAGATGATCCAAAACAGTACTTGAACATGTTGCTCAACATATAGAGCTTTGAAGAAACTGGAAAAAAATGCTTGGTTTTGAAAAGGGAGCTCTTCTTGTTGGAAAGCAGAAGTGGTAGCTGGGCAAAAACTTAAGGAAGTAGGGCCTATTTCCTGCCACTGATTAATAGGATGGGTTTAAAAAAAGCCCTCTTCCCTTCTCTGCAAAAATATCCTCCTTATATCCTATTTTTCCCATCCCTTTCTGCATCACTGTCTAAATCCTTATATTGTAGAACCTAAACTACAACTTTAGAGGATAACTTTTTTTGAAATTAAAGTCAGCTTAGAAAGTCTACCTGAGTGTAGTTATCAGCACAGCTGATAAGAAAGCAAACCGCATTTGAGTGAAAATGCTATCCAGCATGATCTGGTTTTAATCCTCTGTTCCTCTTGAGGAATTAACCCTGTTCATGTCAGTTACGTAGTTTGCTGGGCATTAATTAGAAAGATTGATCTAATGATCAACTTATGGCTGAGCTAAGTCAATGTTGCTCTTGAAAAGGATGGTTCTGTCCCTCTCTAAAATCAGCACTAACAGTCCTGCGGCCGTGTGTTGAGGCTGGCTTGACTGAAAGCTCCTCCTGCTTTGCCCCGCCTGGTCCTCCCCTCACATGTGCCTGGGTAACTCCCCCAGCATGGGGAGTGAAAACATCTCTGAATGAGTGAGATATCTGATGACAGAAGAGTTTCACAACCAGCTTAGACCAGTCTAAACTCATCAGTTTTTAGGGTTCATGAGAAGTTTGATATTAAACCACTTAATCACAGACATAGAGTGACTTACATTATTTAACGCTCTTGTTTGAGGGTGTTTATCTTTGTGATTTCTCATCCTCCAGGTGAAAACACCTATAGAGCTGAGGAATTTGCCTCTTTCCTCCTAGACTCCCAGTTGGATGCCTCTCCCCATGCATGGGGATGTGCTAGTGCAGAGGTTGTGCTAAGGGCTCTAATCCAGCTGGAAATGCTGCAGCCTGAGGCAGATTTCCTCAGAAATGTTGATAGGTGAACTTTGTGCTAGCAGACCTCTTACCAAATGAGACAATTTGTTGGATTTATGCCACCCTGTAGACAACAAACAAGCATCAGATTGACAGAAACATGACAGATGCAGTCACGTTCATATACCTGATCTGGATCAGGCTTGCGCTACCAAACGATCAGTCAGAAGGCAGGTCTGATACAGATGATGGTGGAATGACAAGCCTCAGATCAAGGGTAGGAACAGGAAAAGAGATAGGACATGACTTGGACAGAGGTCTGGTATGTAGCCAGCCTGTCCTGTGACAGAAGGACTTCTTTCTACCTTCATTTTGAAGAGGAAGATGGAATATAATTTTAAGTTTCTTTAAGCATGCTTCAGAGACTGAACTGACTCTTAAGGTTGCCTTGCTCCCTTTCAGAATGTGAAATAAAAATTGAAGTACTCCTGCAGTGCAGTCTTGACCCCTCTCTTAGGATTTTGACCAAATAGCCTGTATGCTTCAAAGCAGACTTTTGTCCTGTTGAGCTCTGTGCCCTATGCTCTTTACTGCCGTAAATGCTAATTTTAGTTGGCTGTAGCAAGTAAAGGAGCAATTTTTCCTCAAAAACTGTACTAATTCTTTCTTTGGGGTTTTTTGGTCAGGTCTAGGGAATACAGGGACAGTATTCAACTTAGTCACCTAAAAATCAAGAAACATGATTGATTGAGCATTGATTAATTTCATTGATCATGAAATTTAGTCACTTTCAAGGTTGCTGGAACACATCTACATACACTTTAAATTGCTGATGTGTTTTTTTTTTTTTTTTTTCCTGGAATGGGGGAAGGAGGGTCTTGCATGTTAATGTTAAATTAGCTGTACTGTAATTGCAAGTCACGCACAGCAAAACACTACGTAGAAAATGCAATATCCTTTCCTTCCAGGGATGCAGGAGGCTTCCTCTGCCTGAAAGGCAGATGTCTGTAATCCAGAACAGTTCTCTCCTTTAATTATTCCTGGGTTACCCAGACTTTTTCTCCTTCTCCCCTTCCTGTCTACCAATCCCCTACCCCAAAAACAGCAAAAAACAAAGAAACAAACAAAAAGCTTGTAATTTACTGTGATAGTACGATTAAGGTGTAAGCCATAGCATGGTTATTTGTCTGACCAAGAGGCTTACCGTTGCATGCAACATGCCAGACTAGAGTGGTGAGACAAGAGAAGCAAACCTCAAATGCTATAGCTGTATAATATAGGGGGTTTGGGGAGAATGCTGTGATAGTGAGAGAAGTATGCTAGCTCTATAATCTCTAATTAGATTGTTCTTATACTCTTTTCCTTGACTACAGTTTTTCTATTACTTTAATGGAAAGCCATACCCTGGAAAGGACATACCATTTAAAGACAGGATCACTTGGGCTGGAGATCTTAACAAGAAAGATGCTTCTATCAGTATAGCAAACATGCAGTTCCGGGACAACGGCACTTACATTTGCGATGTGAAGAACCCACCTGACATCGTTGTCAAGCCAGGTGAAATCCGACTTAGAGTTGTGGAGAAAGGTATTCACCCTATGTGATTATTATCCCCGCCCCTCGTGTGTGTGTATTCCGCCTTTCCTGGGGTGGGGGTGAACTGGAGGAAACAACTGTCTCTAATTTTCTTCTTCCAGGTCTTAATAGTCCAACTATTATCCAACTATAGTCTGTCAACTATGTAAAACACTGAATGTCTTACCGCTTTTCCCTCTATTTCCACAAATTCTTAAACTTTAACAAGTATTAGCAGGAGCTGAAGTCTGAAAATCAATCCCAGTTTTCCTTCCTGACTATCACAGACCTTTCAGGTTGCTGGAGGGTAGTAGTTATAGATGATTGGTTTGGCTTTTCTGAGAGGAGAAAACAAAAACAAGAAAAAAAACAACTCCTTTTTCCTCTGCCTCCCTCGACACTGGGGATTGTGGTTTGGCTTGGAAAATATGGGCTGTTTTTGGTTAGGTACCGCATAGATCACAGACCAGGGCAAATATGAAAATTTGGCAATCAAAAGTCTACCAGGTCTTCCTTTCTGACCAAAGGAGCTAGGACCATTCCATCCAGCCATTAGAAATTCCTGAATACTTGTTTAAACCTCTTGAAGAGCCTTGTTTTTAAACAGGCTTTCAAATCATTACTGTGTTAACATCTGAAATAAAACAGCACTCTTTCTTAAAAGACATACAGTAATACTAATAAATCATGTCTCTTCTGTACAATGATAATATTTGTTACCCCATAGATTGCATGCAAAACTTTATTCTGTATTTTGCTGACCCATTGTAAGACTCATAGGAATTTAGAATCATCATCTAGCAATCTCCTGTTAAAATTTAGCTGGGAGCAACGGTTGAATTAACTGATACTGATGAAGTGGAGTTGGGAAAAAAAGATCTTAATTGCATTTATCTTATGATTTTAATCAAGATCGATTGAAATAACCTCCTGGCTTGAAGAAAGGGAAAATGTATATGGTTGACTGAAGGCAGGGGGAAACCAACCCTGATGGAAATGCAATATCTCATTTCCAAGTCCTATGAATGGTTCCTCTGTTATGCTACATCAAGGGTTAGGATGACTTATCACAGAATGATGGAGGTTGGAAGGAACCTCTGGAGATCATCTAGTCCAACCCCCGCTGCTCAAGCAGGGTCCTCTAGAGCACATTACCCAGGATTGTGTCCAGACAGCTTTTGAATACCTCCAGGGAAGGAGACTCCACAACCTCTCTGGGCAACCTGGTCCAGTGCCTAGTCACCTTCACAAGAAAAAAGCTTTTCCTCATGTTCAGATGGAGCTTTCTGTGTTTCAGTTTGTGCCTGCTGCCTCTCGTCCTGTCACTGGGCACCACTGAGAAGAATCTGGCCCCATCCTCTTGCAACTTTCCTTTCAGATACTTGTACACATTGATCAGACCCCTCTCAGTCTTCTCTTCTCCAGGCTGAGCAGGTCCAGCTCCCTCAGCCTTTCCTCATAGGAGAGATGCTCCAGTCCCTTTGTCATGTTAGTAGTCTTTTGCTGGACTCACTCCAGGAGCTTCATGTCTCTCTTGTACTGGGGAGCCCAGAACTGGACCCAGCACTCCAGGTGAGGACCCACCAGGGCTGAGTAGAGGGGCAGGATCACCTCCCTCCACCTGCTGGCAACACTCTGCCTAATGCACCCCAGGAGACCATTGGCCTTTTCGGCTACAAGGACACATTGCTGCCTCATGGTTAACTTGTTCTCCACCAGGACTCCCAGGTCCTTCTTGGCAGAGCTACTTTCCAGCAAGGTCAACCCCCAGCCTGTCCTGGTGCCTGGGGTTATTTCTCCCCAGGTGCAGGACCCTGCACTTGCCTTTGTTGAACTTCAGGAGGTTCCTTTCCGCCCATCTCTCCAGCCTGTCCAGGCCCTTCCGAATGGCAGCACAGCCCTCTGGTGTGTCAGCCCCTCCTCCCAGTTCTATATGGTCAACAGACTTGCTGAGGGTGCACTCTATCCCTTCATCCAGGTCATAATAACTTAGGAAATCTGAGGAGGAAGGAAAGAAAGTGACAGTCTCTTTGGAACACATCTGGTGTACACAGGAGAACAACACTAATCTTCCAGTGTGGGTACCTATTGACACGCAGAATGGTGCTGCTATCTACAGTGCTAAAGTGTTTGCATTAATGTGCACTTAGCCTTTCTTTTAGTCAGGCTTTCTTTCAGTATTCATACCGACCCTTATAAACCCTAAGGACTGGCTCCTTCCAGTCACTTAGGGCTTCTGATTAGCATTTAGTAGCAGTCGTCACAGTTCAAGAGCACTTCTATTCCATATGTCAATTTGGCTTTTCATTTCCCCAGGCTGGCCAAAACATCTGATTGCTCTAAGTAAGGTCGAGATCAGCTAAGTTGTGTCTATTCCTACAGTAAAATGTTTCTCACAGTGATCAGACTTCTAGATGAATAGGTACTGAGGACAAGAATGAATGTTCATAGATAGCAGTGCTGATACTCCTATTCTGTTTGATTTCAGGACGTTAAAGAAGACACCCATGTGTGTGCACATGTCTAACTAAAAAGATACTGCTGCTATAACAATTGTACCCCTGCTCATGAAATCATTCCATGTACTTATACTTCTATAGGCAAGGTCTATAGCTACCTCTTCTTTTCATGGAATGATTTGAGGTGGAAGGGAGCTCTGGAGGTCTTTTCTCCCTGCCCCACTCCCCACACCCCCAGTTTTCCTTTACTGGGAAGTTTGACTTCTGTATAAAATAGGTCAGTTTATTTTCTTATAACGTCTTGACATTCTCTATGAAGAAGCATTAAGGCAATTGCTGGATATGCAAAGTCAGGCTAGCTTGGCAAAGCCTCTTCAGATTTTTACCCAGGTTAAGCAAATGAAGACTGACTTTAGTATGCGAATTCAACTGATGTTTTTCAACATACTTGCATATTGGCCTCAATGAGCTAAGAAGTAAACATTATATGAATCTGGTCTTGAGAAAGTGAGGCCTGAGGGTCATCTGTGAACAGTCAAATGCAGTTTAGTATGTGCAAGTAACTCTTCATTTACCTAAAATAAAGAAATATGATGTATGGAAACAAATGGCTGCACCTGTTTTTCTTGTCTGCTACTTCCCTTAGCTGTCTCTCGCAGGAGAGAGAATGCTTTACTTTACAAATACAGAACAAAATCCCTGTTTTTTTTTTTTTTTTTTTGTCTATCCAGAGGCCTAACCAGAGTTTGCTGTGTTGGAAGGGGGTAGTTTAAAAACAAAACAAAAAAAGTGACTTGAAGGATCAGTTAAAGATACCTCTGAGGCTACAGTCCTAGAAAGTAATATGCAAAGGCAAGATATTTTCTGAAGGCAAACCTTGTATGGGCTAGAACAAATGTTGCTGGGCAGTTGAACTATTGTGAAATTTTCCTCAGGCCAAGCAATGATGAGAACTTAAAGTAATCTTTTTTTCATCATTCATGTTGAAAAGATAACTGTTATTCCAACTTCACTGCTACAACTGTTTGTACTATACTTCTGCTGCTTGCTGGCTGCCAGCAGGTTTAACACCAAAGGAATTAGAGGGAATTTTGTTTAGCATCTTTCCCTGTCAGTGGAGCATCTGGCCAAGACACTCTCGCTGTTCCTGAGAGGGGCCCTGCATTTATTGGCTTAATGTTGTTTTCACTTACCTAATGTGGCTGATCAAAGGCTTCCTAACTCTAAAGGTTCAACAGGAGCTTAAGCAGATCATAACATGCTGTGCTTCCCATTGATTTGTTTGTACTAACACCAGCATTTTTGCCAGGTAGCACAAAAGTAGTCAAGAGAAAAAGTTGTACATTTTCAAGTAGTTCAGCCCTGGCACAATTCATAACCTCCAGGTACGCGTGTGTCAGTGCTGATGCTCTTATGAGTGACAACAATATAGTGCTCTAAAATCACCTCTGTGGAGGAAGTCTTTATAGATATGCAGCAGCAGTAGGGGACAGCAAGGTTATTCAGAATAGACAGCAGATAAGCACTCATAACCAAATAGGTTTGTCTGTAGGTATTATGCTTTAAGTATAAGTATTTAGCTTTCTGTGAAATTATATTTAGAGGTTTTAGCCACAAGCAGACAAGCTTACGGTTTTCCCAAGTGTTGCATGAACAACTGCACTATTGCATTGCTAGGTGATTACTATTGGTATCTTTGAAATGAGTTGTTTTTTTTTTTTTAATCAAAAAAAGCATACAGAAGAGAAAGTGAGTGTACCTGTATGTTCACTGCAACTTATGGGCTCCTGGGGAAGCTGCAGGAGAAAGGAGAATGTGGGAATTCCAGGGACTAAGGGTCATAAGACACAAAAAGGAAAGGCGCTTGCAGAGCAGTACGTGCCTTCTGTACGACAAGTACTCTCACTTAAGGGCAAATGCACTGTGAAACATCCAAGTCCACTGTTGACATCTCTCTCAGGAACTGAACGGCATGCTAGTGCAGTTTTTCTCCCACCAAAAAGTTTCCCCATACAACCAGCAGGAAAGACCAGCACCACCCCCTCCCATGCCTGCGTGCGTGCGCGCACGCACACACACAAAGCATTTTAGAAAAATCAGCAGGA